TGTGGCCTTCTTCTCAAAGCAGTCTCACTCTTGCAGGTTTGAGGCTGTAAAGGGTAGAGACTTGCAGCTTCTTGTGATGTCCTCAGGCCATCTTTTCTATTCTCCTGTCCCTTCTGAGCAGTGGAAATCTCCTCAACTGTATCTTTGCAGTCCATAGCTTTACTGGAGCTTCCTTTCTGACCAAACTCATAACACTTAAAATCATCCTGCTAGGCTCTTTGCTCTTGATTCTCAGCATAAATCTGGCTGAAAGCCCCAACAATAGCCATGCCACTGCCTCAACTTTCGACTGCCTTGAAATTTCTTCTACCAGAGTAATTAGTCCACTCCCCTTAATCTTAGTCTCAGACAAAGCCTCTGGACATGAGCAAAATGCAGACAAACTTTTTGCCAAGCCATAACACACATCATCTGGAGTTCAACACCCAATGCAGGCCTTCCCAGCAGAAACCTTCCAAACTTGGTCTTTACCAGCAGGATTTCTATCAGCTTTCTAGTCTTCCGAGCTCTGACCCGAATCCCCCATACAGAACAGCCATAGGCGTTCTAGCGCTTCTCTTTCAGACGAAATCTCCAAACCTTTCCAAACACTTCCCACAAGCCATTCCCAGAGGCTCTTCAACCACGTGGTCAGTTATAGTCACAGCAATGACCCTACTCCTCTGGTACCAAATTCTGTCTTGGTTACTTTTCTCTCATTGCTGGGAGAAAATACCCAATGCCCAAAATTAAGGAAGGAAAGGTTTATTTAGCTTGCAGTTTGTGGAGGTTTCAGTCCATACTTGGCTAGCTCCAAGGCAGAGTGGCACATGGCAGAGGATAACAGTTCATGGTGGTGGAAGACAGCAAAAGCAGTAAGAGCAAAAGGGAGGAGCAGCAGCAAGCCTCTTTTTCTCCCTTGTATTGTATGCAAGCTACACCCCTGAGGGTAGGTATAGCACTCACACCCATAATCCCAGCACTGGACCATGAAGCAATCATAAACTCTAGAAGCCCGCCCCATGACTGCATTAGGCTTTGGGGGGACATCTAGACACAAACCGTGATACCTACCCTCCATTTAATATTTAAGGAAATTGAGGCTCAAAGTTGAATGATTGGTGTGAGTAAATGCAGTGAGTGTTCAGCAAGCGTAGAAATGTAAAATTTGTATAGTAGGTGCTCTTGTACTTTCTGACAGTTGGCAGTAATGTTGCAGGACTTTTTTAACTACCAAGCAATGCTAAAATGATCAACTGATCAACTGTCATGGAAAAAACATTAAAAATGTTGAATATTGTGATTATCACATCTTCCTTTTTAGCAAAATTAAATGACTTGTGAGAGAGTCCAGGATCAGCATGGGAGAGGCTTCAGTTTCAGCGCCGCTAACTTTGATTTATCACAAGTTCATTTACTGAATAGTGAGGGTACCTCAGAATAGGCCCTATAGAAAAGCAAATTTTATTCTTCCCTTCTTGAGTTGTGGGATATAAAGGGCTCCACAAAATCTGCCTTCTCCCCCATTAGTGAGGTGAAACTCAGTCAGTGTAGATTCCTAAAAGAAGCTGGAGCGGCTCCTGTGTTTTGGTGACTGGGTGGGAGGGGTGGAGGCACAGTGGCTGTGGCCCCTGGGGAAAGGTCCTGCTGCAGCTGAGCGGATGGAGTTGGCCTGGGCTAACCTCAGCCTGAGATTGGGTCAGAAAACTTTATCCTTGGCCCTTCTAACTCTCTTTACTCTGCCGTTTAAAATATTAAACTTATAAAATTTTGAGTTTTCCTTTTATTCCAAGGAAATTTTAAAAGGGAATTTTATATTACATTCTCAAAAATATTTTCATCTCTCTTGTGTTGTAGATTGTTTGGGATATAGTCAGAGAGTAAGGTGTCTTTGTAGTGCTCTTGGGACATTTAAAGAAATACATGTCTTTTCTTTATGAAGTACTGTGTATTTTGACAAAATCAAGTTTGTTGATTATCTCCTTCAAATCCTTGATTTATTCTCTTTAGCTTACATGCCCTGCCAAATTCTGAAAGTATTAAAATACTCCACCATGATCAGATTTTATCATGTTTTCTGTATGTCTAGGTTTCACTTTAGATATTTGACTACTATATTTCTTGCCTATATTTTTTATTTAAGAAGTACAATTAGAATTTAATAAATGAAGAAAGACATAGCATACAACTGAACGGGCAAATCATTATTTTATAAGTGAAGTCTTCCCCAATTTATGCCATTCTGGTCAGAAACTCAACAGTTTTTTATTTTTGAAGAGGTGACCGGTTAAAGTGATATGTATGAGAATAAGTTGATAAGAATTACCTAAAAATTCTTTTAAAAATTAGAGTAGTTGGGGTGGGGAAAGTTCCTTATCATGTGTTAAAATTACCACCCTATGATACTGACATAAATAGGATATGTTATAAAAAATACAGAATGAAGCTGACTATAACAGAACAAATTCTAGCATTGTAAGAAAACCAGGGTAAATTTTATTTCACTGGGAAAGGGAATGTTTACTTGATATAATGTTAGCATAATTGGCTGCTTCAAAGAGAACAATTAAGGGTTCTGCCAATGAAAGATCTAAGTGGAAAGTACCACTATGCTAGAAATTTCAGGAGGCAGTGTAATTTTGAAAAGGGGAAGACCTTCACAGACTGGCAAGAAGAAGGAGAAGACATAAAGGAAAATATTGACATACTTAACTTCATAAAATTTTAAAAATTCTTCCTGGCAGAATATACCATAAATTACATCAAAATACTTTGTCCCACATATGACAGCTAAAGATGTGTTTGCCCAGTCTTTAACTAGGAAGCAGATAATCCACTAGAAAAACAGACAAGGAGGCCACAAACTGGCCGTTCACAGAAGGGAAATGCGTGATGGCAGACCAAATGGAACTCTAAAGAGAGGCTCAGACAAGTAGACAGGAAGCAACGATCCAGATAGCAGTGAAAAGAAAGTCTGTGTCTATGCAAGGAACAGAGTACACTGTCTAAGCGCCTGGGGTGCTATGTCAGCCAGCCCAGGGTGGCTTCCTGCATGATGCATGGACCATGGCCTCTCCTTGCGTCTGCCCTTGGAGAGCAGAAGCACACCGGTATTGCATGTATTACCATCTACACAATTATAGCAAGAGATTGAAAAATATCCCTGAGTCTAATAATAGGGAAATGGCTGAACAAATTGCATATATTGGTAGCACATAATATTTGATGTGTGTGAAAAGAATATCTTAGATTACATGTGTTGATTAGGAAAAATCTTCATGATTAACTAGAAAAAGAACAGGTTTCAGGGGAATGTGCGTAGTATGCTTACTTTAGAAGCATGTTTTGTGTGGCTATAGAGGAAAATGTGGGGGATGGACACAAAAGATCCTAGCTGGACTTTGGGGACTGGGATGGAGGGCAGGAGGAGGTCAGCATGACTTGTTTTTAATAGGAAATACTATCCGTTTTGTTTGTTAGAAAAGTTCAGAATATTAAAATTTATTATTATTAAAAACCCTTAACTCTGTCTTCACCCTTCTCCTGTTTGTTTCCTTCTATAAAATAAGCATCTTTCTCTTTACCAATGCACCTCTGTTGAAGATACTCTGGGTGCCTCTTGGGAGGATGCTGCCCTCTGTGCCCCAGCCTGTCCAAGTCCCCACCTCTTCCCCCTGCCCATCTTATTTCTGCAGCTTATCATTCTGGCCACTTTGCAGCCCAAATCTGCAGTTTCTGTGCCTGTTCTGTTTTGCTTGTGCCCATCCAGGGACATCTGGTAGAGAGAAATCACACAGTCCTACAGTTAGAGACCCTGTGTGCCAGTGGTCTCTTACCTCACCTACCCTCTTAAAGATGGCTCCTGACCCTTTGCTTCCCCTTGTCCCCTCTGTCCTTACAGGCATGTGGTATTTCTGCCTTCAGACCACTCTTACTGCTCCTGTCCCTTTCAGCAGCAAATGCAGCAAATGGCTGTGCCTGCTCTGCATGGAAAATGGAAACCACAAAAGACACACACTTCTCCTCCTCCCTTGTTAAGGCTCACAGGCCATTGGTGTGCTCACAGTGCAGCCCTTCCCAGCCGTCTTGTGTCCTCAAGAGCAAGCTCTGAGGCCTCTGACCCCCAGGACCCCTGAGGGTGGGCAGGGCCTTTGGCACTCCTCTGACCTCATGTGTTGGGGACACACTTGCAGATGATGGGGAGGGAGGTGCTGGAGTAGATATCAAGAAAGCAGGTGTGCTCACGGAGTAATGACCTTGAGGGATGAAAAAGAAAGCTAAGTTGTGCGGATACAGCCTCTGTTTTCTCCCCAGACTTGGAGCCAGGGCGGGAAGGTGTTCCCTTGCCCCCGAGCAGATGAAGGTGTCCTTGCTGAACCCACCAGCCCCACCTATTTGTTTCTTAACAACACTTAAAAGCCTTATTGTCATACTTTGATTTTTGTGTGCTGGGTCACTTTTCTGACAGCAAGGCAAAGATGAAAGTTTATCTTAAACCAGTGCCTCCTTCATGCATTCTCCAGAAAGCTGGCTTGTGGTCTGGCTTGGGAGGGAGTGAATTAATTAGTGTGCCAATGTGCTGTGCACATTTATAAGCGTGGGGAGGAATATGGTGCTTCCTCCTTTGTGACCCGTTTAGAGCCCCTTTTGCACTTGCCTGTCCTTTTCCCTTGTGTTGTGTCCTAAGGAAAATAGTGGGAGAGAAATAACGGAGACACAAGTCAGCAATCTGTGAAGAGTGGCAAGTTGCAGACAGGCAGTGAAGGGCTAGAGGACTTCTCCATTCCCTTTGTGTGTTTGCTGTTGTGCACATTTTGAAGATGGCAGACAGTTGTTTTAAAGATTAAGTGATTTCTTCGGGTAATGATACTTTGGCGGAAATAAACTAATTTGTAAACAAGCATAGGGGAATTCTGTATTTGTGGAAAACTACCGTGGTGTATTACTTAAGGTCCTATTGGACCCAACCTGGGCTTCTCGTTCTGTTCTGGAGTCCCATTTTCTTGTCCTTTTTTTTCCAGTGGCAGCCGATTGGGAGGCGTCGTGACAGTGTCGTGCTTCTTTTTCAATCACGGAGAGGTAGGTACGCAAAATATTTGCAGAACCATTCCTGGAAATACAGGTTTCTTCTTTAATTTCTTTTAAATTGTATCTGTAGTAGCATTCTTTAAATGTTTATTACTTTGACCTATATTTGTATGTTAGCATTTACTTTCACTTAACTTTTCATAACCATTTCATGACCATTGTCTCTCTTGTGTGGTATAATTGGTACTGATTTCAGGAAATAGTGGATCTGTAATAAAGCTTTATATAATTTTAAAACTATGAAATCTCATTTATTAGGAATAATACACTTTTTTAAAAGTATGATTTGGGGAATTGAACCCAAGGTCTTTGCACTGGGCTACATCCCCAGCCCTTTTTCTGTGTCTTGAGATAGGGTTTCACTAAGTTGCTAAGTTGCCCAGGCTGAGATTGAACTTGTAATCCTCCTACCTCAGCATCTAAGAGTGCTGGGATTGTAGGCATGCACCACCACACGCAGCCATGGATAATACACTAAGTATCCTTTGCAGGATATTTTATTATACGTACAGATTTATAAATATTTAAAGGCTTTCTAAAGACAGCAGCATTACAAAGTTCTTGGACTTGGATCCAGGCTGGTCGGTTCAGATCCTGACTCTGCCATTTAGTGGCTGTCCAACCTGAGCTGTCGTTTTTAATCTCTTTGTTCCTCAGTTTTCTCTTTGAAAGTAGGATCAGGAATATCACAGAGATGAGTTTTATTAAATTTTTACCTTGAATTTTATTTGTTACTAGTATTATTAGTAGTTTAGTTCAGATTAAAATCTGATATAAAGTGTTCATGAATTCCTTCCTCTAAATTGATTGTAGCTGTAAGTAAATTTCTATTAATGTATCTCAGTCCAGATTTCTTTCTCTGGAAGTTTCGTATGGGGTGAGGGTGGATCATCCGAAAGGCCAGCTTGCTTTGTGTGAATTCATCCGTTCTTACGTTTGTACCCAGTGACTGCGGTATTTGCATATGTGCATATTCTAAAGCTCTTTAGAGTGAGTGATCATATACAAACAATGCTGTTGAACTTTTTTAAAATAAGCAAGTTACTGTGGATATTCATCTGGAACACACTTCGTATTTAGAGTCACCGAGATATCCCATGGTAGAGTGGCCTTGTGGGTTAGGGCAGAGTAATATCAGGTCATTGGTGTGGTGTGAGTTAGGATGCAGGGAGAAGAGACTGGCTTCTCCTGCCTGTGGTGACGGTGTGGACTGTGGGACACTGTAAAGCGGGGATGCTGTGACCTACGACACGGGAAATGAAGGCTTAATAACGGGAGAAAGGAGCATTGTGTGCCAACAGTAAGATGCTGGCGGAAAGGCTCCCTGAACATTTGGGAGCCAAGATGTGTCAGAAAGACCACTGTTTGTTAAGCACAAGGGCCCATTGTGTCACCCTCAGTGTACACGCAGTGGTTAGTTCTGATCTTATGTTTTTCTTAGAATTTTGATACTCATGTAGCACGAGCTTCACTTCGAACAAAGTCTTCTCAGTTTTTAGCAGTGGAATTCAGACTGTTCAGTTGATTTTTCAGCCTGACAGATTTTCTTTTTTGTGTTTTTCAGCTCCTTGGTCTTTTAAAAGATGTTAGATATCACTTTCTTAGCAAATGGTAAACTAAATAGAATTAGAATTAGAATTTTTGTTTTAACCGAAATAGCAAAGTAAATTATATTTATGTGTTAACTGTAGCTTTAGGGTAAAAAAGTGACCTTTTCTTGTAATGACATATGTTAAAATTTAGAGCATAAAATTTAGAGCGTATTTTTAAGCAAAATATTGGTGAGAAAATAAGTAATTGGAACTTTATAATTTTAGATGTATTTTAGCTTTCAGATTGTGATTTTTTTTGATAATTAAAGATATTAAATAATGTATATAATGTTTTATGAGGGGAAGCATCTACTCTGGTAATACATTTTTGTGTATGTGGTGAATTTTTTTGTGTAGCTTTGTTCACTAGAATTGCTATTGTTTACTGACTGGTGTGTTACTTTTTTGGAAGAGGAATTTTAATCACCTGATTGAATGCTTTATGTGTCCTCAGAAAAGCTGTTTGCCCTGTATTGGATCTAAGATGGCACATGGTATACTTTTTAAAATTTTGTTTTCCCTCAGAGGATTTTACAAGGAAACATTTTGCCTTAACAAAAGAACTATAAAATGATGTCACACTAATGGATGAATCACACTGTTTAAAATAGAAAATTAAAACCTTCATATTAGAACCAGAAAGGGCTTGCTGAGGCTGTAGTAAGCAGTCCTGCAGGTGTGGTCACTTCCCACACCTTTATTGAGTGTGTTTCACGCTGCAAAGATGGAAGGCTATGGTTCGCTCTGCCTTTCCATAATTCCTTGGTGCTTGGTAATATATCTGCAGCATGGAATGACTGAGGGGGTTTGTTTTTTGTTCTCCTTCCTTTGTGGGACTGGGAATTGAACTCCAGCCCTTCAAACTAAGCTGCAGCCCCAGATCTCTTTCTTTTACTTTGAGACAGTTTTGCTAAGGTGCTGAATTGCTCATGGTGAGCTTAAACTTAGGACCCTCCTGCCTCAGCCTCCCAGAGGGCTGAGATTACCCATGTATAGGGGTCTTACCATGTTTATTGAAAAGCATTTAGCTAAGAATAAAGAAAACCTAAAGCAGTGTTGCTCTATAATTTTTGTCTGTTAGAAATTATTCTTGAATAGGATTATTTAGCTTTTTCACAATGATATTTTAAAAAGTTACTAAGCATGATTGACATTTTATATAAAACATAGTCTCATATATGTAGATAAGAACATATGGAGAAGTTGGTTTTCAAAGTTTATTATCTGCTCCTTCCCCTTTCCTGCTTTCTTTTCTTGCATCTTCCTTTCTCCTTGCTTTCCTGTGCTAGTACAGTTTTGCCTGGGACATGTGTTCCACGTCTCCTGCTGTTTGGCTCAGTTGCAGTAACATGTGCTGTGTGCAGGGTACTTCTGTGTGCCCTAGGGTGGGCAAGTGGCTGACAAGGGTCTGCAGGAGACTCTTGAGTAGTGAGGGACAGTCAGTGATTGGAGGTGGAGGGGACAGGCACTGTCTTCTTAGGTCACTGAGAGAGGTTCATTTGGAGCAGATGGGAAGCTACTGGAGCACTAGAGCAACACAGTGACATTATCAACATGACCTTCGTATCAATTTGTAAAACTGTGTATGCATAGGTATATCACTTACTCAGGCCATTAACTGGTGTTATCTGTGGATTGGGGAGCTTAGAATAAGTTTATAATAATGCTAAAATTAAAAAGGGAAGAGACCAGCCTACAGCACCGCTTGTGCCCTGGCCCTGCTGGACGGCTAGTTGTGTTGCCCATCACTACCCAGGCTGCTGTTTCCTTCTCCATGTTTTGCTTCTCCCTGCTGTCTTCCTCCGGTTCCTGCGCAGAAACATTCCTCTCCTCCCTCGGACTTTGCACATGCTCTCTCCGTCTGTGATGTGTGTACGTCCTTGCCTCTTGTCCCCTTCCTGTGCCTGATCAACTCCTACCCATCCTCAAGAGCTAGACGGTTCAGGTTTCATTTCTGTTGTGATCTTCATTTCTTCTGCAGATCTGAGTACACCTAGAATCATTTCTCTTCTGTTTAAATCTTTATTTAGCACTGTGGTGAAGATCTGCTGCAAACACATCTGTAGTTTTTAATCTTTCCTACATGTCTTTATTTTGTCTTTATTTCTTTGAAGTGAATTTTTTGATGCATGAGAGTTCTAGTCTGATAACATTATCTATCAACATATTGAGACATCATGCTCCTGTATCTTTTCTTCCATTGTTGGAGGACTCGGCCATAGTCCTCATTATTCCCTGAATGCAACATCTTTATGTTGGCTTGCAGGTCGGCTGTATGGTAGCTTGCTGGTTTCTTTATGGTGGCTTGATAGTCTTCTCTATCATGGCTTGTAGGTCTTCTCTGTGGTGGTTTGTAGGTCATCTCTGTGGTAGATTTCAGGTCTTTATAGTGGCTTGATGATCTTCTCTGTGGTGGCTCCTGGGTCTTCTCTGTAGTGGATTACCAGTCTCTGTAGGGTGGGCAGATGATCTTCTGTGTGGTGGCTCACAGGTCTCTCTAGAGTGGCTTAATGGGTCTTCTCTGTGGTGGCTCACGAGTCCTCTGTATGATGGCTCGTGGGTCTTCTCTGTGGTGGATTGCAGATCTTTCTATGATAGCTTGATGGTCTTCTCTGTGGTAACTCTCAAGTGTCTCTGTGGTGGCTTGATAGTGTTCTCTGTGGGCTCTCAGGTCTGTCTGTGGTGGCTTGATAGTCTTCTCTGTGGTGGCTCACAGGTCTCTCTATGGTGGCTCGTGGGTCTTCTCTGTATTGGGTTGCAGGTCTCTCTGTGGTGGCTTGATGATTTTCTCTGTGGTGGCTTTGAGGTCTTCTTTGTGGTGGCTCATAGATCTCTGCAGTGGCTTGATAGTCTTCTCTGTGGTGGCTTGTAGGTCGCTCTGGTGGCTCGCAGGTCGCTCTGTGGTGGCTCATGGGTCTTCTCTGTGGAAGCTTGAAGGTCTTCTGTTGACCACTCTGTTTTGTTGGTGTGATGATGGTGAACCCAAGGTGCCCTCCTCTGAATTCACCCTGCTTGAGGTTCACTGAACACTGTTCTGTGGGGCAACTATAACTGATTGTGGGAAATGATTAGTCTGTATTTTCTCTTCATATATTTGGTCTCCCCCATGTCTCTCATCACCTTTGGGGATTCTAGTAACGTAAACAATTACATTCAGCTTTTTTGGTATTGACGCTCTTTTTGGTGTGCTTTTCACTCTGTGGCTCCTTTGGGCAGTTTTTTTTCTATGGTCCAGTGGTCACTGTGTTTGGTCCGTTGTCATCAATGTTTGGTGAAGCTTTCTTTTTTCCTGTGTTTTTCCTTTTAACTTTAGAACCCTTCTCTCCCCACCAAGCTTCCATTTCTTTGTTGAAGTTTTCCATCTCTCCATCCACTCTGTCCATACTATGCTATACATTT